AAAAAAAAAAAAAAAAAAAAAATTATGAATTAGTCTATGATTGTAAACTCCAAGAGCAGAAACTGTGGATTTTTTTCTCTAGTTCATAACAAAGCACCTAGCAGGCAATAGGTATTTTAGAAAGATTTTATGAACTCAGCTGAACTTCATTAGGATACAGTATAAATAACTTAACAGTGATTATCAGTGCCTGGGCCCAATAAACTTACCCCCTTAAACCTGTAAATACTGGCCACTTATTAATGGGCTCCTGAGAATTTTATTAAGTGTAAACCTTGGTTGCCTAACAATATCACTACTACATAACTTAAGCAAACAGACAGGCATCCAATATAAACACATTATTCAACACTACTTTAACCCAGAAATGTCTGTAAGGTAAGTCCATCTATCTGGCAAAAAAAGGGCAGACAGCTACTGACTAATATCCTTTCATGTTGGAAACTACTGTGTTCAGGGAAATACCTCACAAACAGGTCCGGATGTGCAAAAAAGTCCGCATACATTTCTAAAAGAGATCTTCTTTCAAGAATAAATGTTGGAAGAACTACCTGAAAAACATTCACATGTGACCCAGGATGATCAAATTTCACTACAGATAAATATATTGCTAAATTACTTAAAAAAAAAAAAAGAAAAGAAAAGAAAACACAACTCATTCTGATCACATTTACATCCACCACATACTGCCCAGCCATGCTTCTAAAAACTACTTCCCAAATTGTTCTGATTCAGAAATGCACATTAACTTGCCCAGCGGATGAAACCAGTAAAGGGGTTGCCGACATACAAATGTCACTTCCTCTGTACAACCTCCCTTTTCTTCCTGTTGGCCATAAACTACTCAGTAGTAATTCTTTGATACCTCTTACCTGCTGGAGCACTACATATATAATACGTTATCTAATTAAACTATGATAAAGAAATTATTATTGAAATATGAAAATTAAGAGAGGATGAAAAATGTTCTTGCTGTTCCATTGTTAATGTGGAATTCAAAATTGAGTCTGTCAGATCTGGGGGCATCTGTGCACTTTCCTCTCTCCTGCTGCTTCTTTATCATTATTAGACTGGTATATGACAAAATTTATCTCCTTATAAATTTGTATCAAACATATAATGAACTCCTACAATATACGAATCAAGTTTTTTCCATATTTGCATTTTAATTACTATTTATACAGTAAGATTTTTTATTTTTTTGAGACAGGATCTCACTACATTGCCCCAGCTGGTCTTGAACTCTTGGCCTCAAGCAATCCTCCAGCCTTGGACACCCAATGTGCTGGAATTATAGGGATAAGCCACCAAGCCTGGCCAGTAAGAGATGTTTAAATCAGCAATTGAAGGAATAAACAAGAGAATACAGATTGGGGATCAAATAGGGGGAAATACCTTTAATATATAAACAGCTTTTACAAATCAACAAGAAAAACATTACACTCTAGTAGAAATATGTAAGAAGGAATTGAATAGCCAATTAAAAAAAAAAAAGAAGGGTCAAAACCATATAATTACATTATGCTTCTAATCCTAGCACTCTGAGAGGCTGAGGCAGGATTGCTTGAGCTCATAAGTTAGAGACCAGACTGAGCAAGAGAGATCTCATCTCTAAAAAATAGCCAGGTGTTGTGGCAGGCGGCTATATTCTCAGCTACCAGGTAGGCTGAGGAAAGAAGATCACTAGAACCCAAGTGATCTCTCTCTGAGGCAAGAGTTTGAGGTTCTGTGAGCTATGATGCCACAGCACTCTACAAGGTCAAGAAAGTGAGACTCTGTCTCAAAAACAAAAAAAAAATTTTCACTTGTAATCAAGCAAAATATTTACCTCAACTTCTCTAAAATTCCTATACTTGCACTGAGTTTCAGGGTTGTTCTGAAGACTAGGTGAGCAAATAGGATGTGATTTGGTAGTATCCCTAAAAACTAAGAAGTATTTGGAATTAAACTGTTTTTTTGGAAAGTATCTTAAGTGGGAAAACATTCTGATAAAAGATAAAATTAAGTCATATTGTAATGACTAGAATGCATAAAAGGAATCAAGATTTCAGAATCTGTTAAGCAATCACATCCATGTATGCCAGGAAAAGATTTTAACAGCTTATTGTTAACACACTCAGTAGTAATAAATTATTATAATACCATTCATAATATAACGAGTTTTTAGCATCTATAGACCCAAATGCAGATTGTGTTCAGATCTGGCTATAAGAAGCACAGCCCTCTTTCTCAGGTTCCTGAGGTGGATATGGACTCGCTTATCATTTAACTTCCCTTTCCACTTACTGGTTCAGGCACAGACACATGCCTGACTCTGGCCAATGAAAGTGAATGAGAAACCTGATGGGCCACTTTTAGAAAAGAATGTCTGTCACTGCAACCACAAAAGGCCAGCAGCTATGCAAGCAAACTATTACTGAGGCAATAATGGAAACAAACTGCTACAAATATCCACCGACCTAGACCATTCATGGTCCATATGCTGAGCTCCACAAATTAATCTTATCCTCGTATTTCTCTTCTCAATTAGGTTAGGGGTAGAGGTCCTGTCATTAACATGTATTAGAAGGTATTACAGATTCATCTGTTTCTTAATGGCCCTCTAAATCCAAAACCAAAATGAAGCTCACTACTGACTAGAGCATTGGAGTTAATTTTGTAATAACAAAACCAAAAATTCAGAATTTAATTAAAGCTGGGTAGAATAAAATTTAGCCAACAGAAGAGGTACTACAGCTCATTCTTAAAGATGAAAGAATGCCAAATCTTTCCAGTAGTGGAAAGATTTCAGGTCTTCAAATCAGTCTAGATTAAAATCTCAATCTACCACTTAACTCAGTCAAGTTACTCCCATGAATTTTGGTTTCCTCATCTACAAAACAGAATTAACAGTAACACCACAGTGTGGTGGTGAGAATGAAAAGGATGAGACTTGCAGCAGTGGCAGAAGTATACGAGGCACCCATACACCAATCCTAACTCAATCAGGGATTCTGTTTAGCACTCTAAGTTTAAATTCAAATTCAAATCCAGACAACAGTAATTGTATGACTCGATATATGGCATATAATTTTCTACTCACTCTCTTTTCTAATCCTTACAATAGCCCTGTGAAGTAGGTTACTGTATGTCCATTTTGTCTGTGAGAATCCTGAAGATGGTGGAGGATGGGAACTGCTCAAGGCCACGTGGTTTGGCAATAGTGCAGGTAGGATACAAGCACAGGTTCTCTGACCTTAAGATCAGAATCTGCTTCATTTTGAATCTCCGCATACAACACTGCTTTAGGTTTTATCCGAAGTACTATCCAAGCCCAATGCTATTCCTCATTTGTCCCCCAAAAATCCAAATCTCAAATCTGTACAACCACATATACTATTTTCTTATAAAATTCTTATAGCTTCACTTATTTCATCCATTTATAAACTTTTCAGTTTATATACAGTTTCATCTACAAGTACATTAAACCACAAGACAAGCATCAACAGAAGTTATATCATTTACTTTATTTACAAGCACACTCACTGCACAACCACTGAGAATCCACACACACAAGTTGAGACTTAGGGCGAATGCCAAGCCTGGTTCTTACCTTAGTAAGATCCATTCCAAGCCTAACCTGTGACAGGAGGTGCATGATGACGCTCTTGTGCTCCTCCACAGAGCCGGCCTCCCCATCATCGTCTCTGTCATCATGCGAATCAAAAAGATCTAAAGTAAAACAAATCTTACTAGACTGCTGTTCTACTGGGCCAGTCTCTGTCTCTATCAGTACTACAAATGTTTTTAAGATAAAGAAAAATTCTCAGAGGTGACTTACCAGCATCACTTGTTCCATTGGACATAGAAGAATTAAGTGATTCTGTAGTATCTGGGCGCTTCAGACTATTTCCCGAGCTGCTGTGTGTCAAAACTGAGGCAGATCCAGAAGAACTAAAACAAATCAATAATTCTCTTAAGCTAAAGAAATCAATTTATAATCATAATAAAATGACCTACAAAGTGACTTAACAAATATATCCACACAGTGAGACTAGACTCTGTTAGCTGCTCATATATAGACATACATGCACTTTCCAACTCTCTCCCTGCCACGCTCATTCCAAAATCATAAAGTCTAATGACAAGAACTCTTCTTGTCCTTGAGTATAATTGTGACGGATGTGTTACTTGGTTCAACGTAAGCATTTCACATTGTATATCGAAGCAGTATCCTGAACCCTATAAATGAATCAATGTACAAAGTTATGATTTAATAAAAAATAATTATAAAAAAAAAAATAGGGGTGGCGCCTGTGGCTCAAAGGAGTAGGGTACCAGCCCCATATGCCGGAGGTGGTGGGTTCAAACCCAGTCCCAGCCAAAACCCACAATAAATAAATAAATAAATAAAATATAAGGTTCAACAATTAAAAAAAAAAAAGAACTCTTGTCTTATGCTTTTTGCACACAGTATATGCTCAACCAGATTACAATGAAAAGCAAACCACTTATCATAAAAAATTAGATTTTGGGGCTGAGTGCCTGTAGCTCAGCAGCTAGGGCACCAGCCACATACACGAGAGCTGGTGGGTTCGAACCCAGCCCAGGCCTGCCAAACAACAATGACAACTACAACCAAAAAATAGCTGGGTGCTGTGGCAGGCGCCTGTAGTCCCAGCTACTTGGGAGGCT